TTAGACAGCAATTAACTCCCATTAAAGTGTGGTTTCATCTCTTTCTGTCTCACTGGCAGCAGCATAAGTGTGTGTGTGTTTCTATAATAGACTGTATTTATGTGTACAGGATTAATGGTAATTAATGCATGTTGTTAGCTGTGTCACATAAGGCAGTGACCCTGGCTGGCTGTGTTCGTAATGGAATAATAGTGTAGGGTAGACTGTGCACAGTTGGAACACTTTTGGCTTTTTACATTAAACCTATAACTAGTTAATATTTTCCACAGTTGGTTCGTAAAGATGAGAAGTATTTTTGTTCCAATTGTATCACATCGGGTACAGTTAAATCAGAACTATAATAGAGTTGAAACACTAATTTTTAATGCCTTAAAATAGCCTAACCAACTAATTTACCAAAAATATTAACGTCTTAAAAGATACCATTCTACACATTTGATTTTAGCTCTTCATTGTATTCCTGTTCTTTATTATATTCAGTATATCCACATCTAAAAGTTAGTTTCACTGTAAATTACTGAACAACTAAGATTAAGAGTTCAGATTAGGAATAGCACATTTCTAAAACGCTGAACAACAGTTTTCAATCAAATATTCAACAGTTAAAAACCAGCTCATTGTACAACTGTAAAAAGCAAAACAAATGACATTCTCTCAGGCAGCAAGTGAGTAACTCACTCACTCATTTACATAATCATAAATCAACTTACTCTTATTGAGTTGCTAATTGTGGTGTCAGATGCAGTTGTGGCCTCCATTAGTTCATCCTAAATGTCTAGGCCTTGACAGCATCTGACACAATAGCATTCTACAGCGGGTACAGTTGGTATAGTGTGTTTCAGCTGTACCCCACTGACCACCCCATACATTTCTCTAAATTGCACGATAATACTGAAGGGCACCATATTATGATATATATGGTATGCCAATTTTTAGAGCACAGACTAAAGATCACAAACATCAAAGTTCGGGTTTATGGTCATAAAGGGACAAAAGGCTATTCAATGTTAAAAGGGGAGGGTGAAGTAAAATTCTTACCCCTAAAAATGGACTTTGTATGATGTCTTCATATCTGCTTACTGCACAGTGTATACTGTATATACCTGCTATTTAGTGAAAGAGTATGCAGTGACATTTCCCATGTTGCATAAGCAGAGATTATTGTCTAGTTATTTTGTGCAAATTATTCCTTTTGCTCAAGTGTTTGTAAACATGAATTTTACATACATATAATGCTGCAATACAATACAGGCCTAATATTGTAATGGATGCACATGGTTGTGGAACTTTTCTGTGGCACTATATGGAGAGAGTTTAATGACAGCAATTACTTGTTTCATGATCATTTCAAAATCACCTTCTGAGTTCTGAGAGCATTCTCACTTCAAGATCAGTCTGAGACATGTACTTGACTCTGACTAATGTGAGATGGCCTGGCACGATAGACAATATAACGATAGTCCTTTCCAGAAAATCTGACCTACCTGCTCTAAATTACCATAAGCACATCTCGCCAGTCAGAAAAGGCTGTTGCAATGTACTCCCACTGGAATAAATGTGCTGAAATTTTCTAATGCAGGATGTCCTGCAATCATGGATGACTCTGTGTTGAACCTTATCTTTACATTAAAAGGACACATATAGAGGTAGCCAAATGAACCAAAGAGCTGCGGAAATGTATTTTGTCATTTGTGTTCATATGCTTTTTAACAGCATAGGCAGAAATCGTGAGGGGGTTGGGACCCCCATCTGAGGGTTGTGTGGTCATTTGCCATGCTTCTTATATGGTCATTTGCATTGACAAGTTAAAGTTGTTAATGATGTTTGCTGCACAATATTTGACTGGAAGGGTAAAAATGAGCTTCATATCAGGCACAGAGATGAAATAGTGCAGTAAGACCACATTTATTTGAATTATTTATTTATTTGAATTGCTGTAGACTATATTACTCCAGGGCTGCAGGTGGCAGTGTTTTAATCACAAGAAATGACATCAACAATAGAGGTTTACATGGCCATGAATGTACTTTGCCTATGTGAGGTTGGTAGAAAAACATCCAGAATAACCAGAAGGACACAAAAGGGCAAATGTCAGTCACTGCCATTGAGAATATAGCCAACACATTTGTAGCCTTGAAAACCCACGAGGGTCTAAAAGATGTTCCACCAAATAAAAGAAAAGGCCATGAATGACGAAGAGTCAGCTGTGATTGGACAAAAACTACAACACTTTCACTTATGAACTTTAACGTGAGTGGGTCGAGGGGATTGACTGCTTCACTGGACTGAACTGGGACATAAATTGGACTCAAAGAGAGAAAGTTCATGACCATCTGTCTATTAAGATGTGACAGTTGACTACACACACCCTCAGCCTGAGGCACTTCCACGCCATCTGCCACCACACTGACCCTGCTGAGAGCCACAAGCTATCAGACACTCCTGAAGGACAAACAGATCACGGGACAGACACAACGACAGCTGCACAGACAAACAGAGAGAAGCTTCTAAAGAAAACTCAATTCTGCAAGCTTCACGGCAATCAGAACATATTTGACTTTAGTTTGCAGTGATGTTGGACCAATGATGTTTCACTGTGGGTGGAGTTTTCAGTAGACAAGTGTGTGAGGTTTGTTTGAATCACTTGTTTTCTGTTATGATAGAGACAAAAAGATGGTCCACTTATAGATACTGTATATTAATGAGAGAAATCGTAATGCTCTATATGAAGGTTGTAGTCCAACCTTACAGTTAAAAAGAGCCAAACTACTGTTTGCACATTATATGGACCAGACTAAACAAATTGTAATGCACTTCAAATCTCAAAAGTTTTTTTTTTTTTTAACTGTACTTGTAAATAATATAATATTAATGAAATAAAGGGCCGCTTAAGTGTACTTGAAAAAACTATATACTTTATGACTGTTACATGCACTTTGTGATAATAACAAATTAAACGTTTTACTTTACTGTACATTTTAAATCATTAAGTTTTAACAATCTTTTGTCATGCTTTAAAATACACTTGTTTTGATGTGTTGACTAGCATACTAAAGCACAAGCAAAGGACTTATTTTTTTCTGTTTATTTTTTGTTCTTTTATATTAAATTTAAAGTTAACATATATTCAATGTATTAAATTGCAACTTCAGTATTAAAAATGTGTAATTACAATAACTACATGACAAGTTGCAATAGAAATGACATTTTAGTTTACCATAAATGCTTGTCAGTAGATTCGGCAGTACACTTAAACCATATTTCAATATGATAGTAATTATGAAATTACAGATGTACTTAAGTGACTGTCTTGTATGATTAAGACTCTCCCTGTGTACCAAACCACCTGAATGATGTCATCGGAGGGCACTTTGGGAAGCATTCATATACTGCCTCTAAAGTCATTCTAAACATAATTAAAAAAAACTCTAAAAGTGAGTTCCAAATGACATTATTTTTAAGCCCCAAACGTTTCTGCACTCCAGAGCTTTCACAGCGGATGGTAAAGACAGTGTGGTCATTTCTGATGGTAAACTCTTTGTTGTTTGAACTCTCTCAGTGCAGATTTGCTTAAACAGTGGTGTAAGAAAATAGCTCAACACTTTAGGGACTAAAACCTGACTTTTTTCACAGATACATTTACATAGCATATGCGCACACCTTGGTGACTGCATTCTTTTTCAATAATTCAATGAAACCTTGACAACGATTCCTTTTTGAATCAATGTACTTATGTCCGTTACTCTTTCTAATGTTACATCAGGGGAATGTTCTAAAAAACAGCTGACTCAGTGTTCTGTTCTCTTCTTTTTAAAGAATGTCAAAAGATGTCCTTGCACTGTCCTCTTGGCCTTTTTTAAAGAGTGCAAATCTGACAAATACTTATATGACCTTGTGCACAGCTCATTGGAATATTGAGATCTGATTGGCCATTAGCCATTATTTATAGCTCGTAAATTATCATATGTAAAAATGATAAATATTTGCATTAGATGCTTTATATAAAACACTAAACCATTAATCTAAATAGCATGGTGGTTTTACAGAGAGGATGCTTTTGGGCATTTTTTTTTTTTCAACAAGAGACATGTCATCCCCTCTCATCTCCCTTCAAATCGAACACTGGTTGGTGTCAGATTTTATATCTGATTTGAAATATGTTTTTGAAATATAATCCAGACAAATGATTTTGGTCTTTCCATTCAGATGAGCTGTACTTGCATGAATACAGCTGCTAAGACTTTGGTTATACTTAAGAAATAATCTGTATTATTACTTTTGGAGGGACAGAAATCAATCTAAATTCAAGCTTATGATTGATGACAAATCAATCAAAAGCTGCAGGAAAATGACATTATGACACTAACTAACTGATGGCACAGCAAGAACGGACACAGTTCCAAACCCTTATCAAGCAGCTATACAGATCTGAAGGCAGGAGACAAGGGAAAACAATCCAAGCATGGTACAAAATCTACTTTATATAATAAAAAAGGAATTCTTTCATCACAATACACAGCTACTTCAAATGACCATCAAAAGAGAGCGATGCTTTTTGCCCTCATAATGGTGTAGTTACATCATCTACCAGCAGGGGCTAACTAGATCACACTAACCAGCAAAACCAGCCTTGACCTGCTGATGGCACTTTGTTACTCTATTATTTTTGAGCTGGATGATGTGGCAAAGTCAATCTAATAAAACACCTTCAACACCACTGTCATTTCTTATTCGCTTGTCCATCCCAAAAACATTTTCTAACATTAAAAACCAAACTTGCCCCTAAAATAGCACCCAACAATGTCTGAATGAAAAAAACTCTCCAACATACAAAACATTCCTCACAGGCAAGAGATCAGCTTAAAGGGAGAGACAGAGTTTTCCTCCTCTTAATGTTTTTGTAGGCATCACAATGTCGAGCTGAGGGGAGAAGGGGGAGGAGGGACACAGAAAGAGAGAGAGAGGGGGGCAGAGGGAGGGGAAGGAAGCAAACGAGAGGAGAAAGTGGAAGCAAGAGAGTGTCAGTGAAAGAAAGCAGTCTGACTGCACAGAAAAGGTGCTCGGCAAACAGCGCACACTCATTGAGTCAGTGATATTCTGAACACGGAGAGCTGGTGCATTTGAGCTCAAGAAAACAGTTTTCAGTGCAGAGAGACAGCACAGAGACAGAGAAACAGAGGAAGTGGAGTGAAAAGAGAAGAGGAGAGGAGAGGAGAGGTTCTTCGTGGAGAGATGGACTCAGATTCTGGGGATCAGAGTGAAGGAGAGCTCTCTCCAGGTAAGGGATCAGTCCTCTCGTTCTCATCTTCTGTTTCTCAAACTCTGTTCACAGCTGTCTGGCGTTTGCAGGTGAGCACAGACACGTGCTGCTACTTTTCTCATTAACACATTAAACATTCATCATCGTACTCATCTTCCTCGCCCAGCGTGACAGCCTGTGACAGGGCGTCCATCCGCCAAGTGCTTGTAGCGTCTCTTCAGAGCTTTGTGTCTGTGGTTCTGCTCTCTGAGGAGAAGTTAATCTGTGATATTTGAGCTGGCTGAACACAAGGGCGGTGGAAAATTGAACAGCAGCACTTTGGTTTATGGCTGGCAAGGTTCACAGACTCAATATAAACTGGCAGACAAACCTAAAACAACCTTGTGGTCACGATAAAGAAGAAGTGTAATCTCACTGAAGGAGTTGTGAAAGGAATTTCAAAAGAGCTCAGTGCTCAGTATTGCCAAGATACCAACAGTTTGAATCAAAAGTCAGATATCTCATATGAATTCATCAAATCCTTCCAAGACCAAATGATCTGAGCTGTGCTATGCGCATTCAGATACTCTTCCTGTATGCCAGCATCATATATTTTAATGATAACAACCTTGAAAGATACATACTGTAACTAAGAACTTCTAAATTACATGCTGGTATTTTTACAATCAACTACCAACATTTTGCAGTAGCCTATCTTTGTATTTAGCATATAGACTCCTCACACACAAAATCCTTCAATTCTCTTGAGTTAAAAGAATTTACCTAGGACCACCCGATTTTTCATTTAATTTCACTAAAACTAGACATTTTTCACCTAGAGCGAGTCTCCACAAAATTAGTTTCAGGGACCTTTCTGTGGTTAAGTGTTTAGTCATGGACAGAGTTAAAATACAGTCTCACTGGTTCTCCATGGCTCACTTTTACTTGGGATCACAGTTGATCTGCAACTGAAAGAAATGAACGTTTTAAAAATGTTGATCTTTCCCATTCAGTAGTTAATGACCAGTGAATGTATTATAAATATAGTCCATACAACCTGTGTGCTATATTCTTCTGAAGTCATATCATAGCGTTGTATGTGGAATTTCAGTTGTTATTTGCTGAAAATCTTTTTTGCAGTTCAAATCATATGAGCTTAAAGGAACACGCCACTATTTTTGAAAAATAATAGTTTTTAAACAGTTGAGTTTTACCGTTTTCGAATCCATTCAGCCGATCTCCGGGTCTGGCGGTAGCACTTTTAGCTGCAGCTTAGCATAGATCATTGAATCTAATTAGACCGTTAGCATCTCGCTCAAAAATGACCAAAGAGTTTCGATATTTTTCCTATTTAAAACTTGACTCTTCTGTAGTTACATCGTGTACAAATCCTTCAATTCTCTTGAGTTAAAAGAATTTACCTAGGACCACCCGATTTTTCATTTAATTTCACTAAAACTAGACATTTTTCACCTAGAGCGAGTCTCCACAAAATTAGTTTCAGGGACCTTTCTGTGGTTAAGTGTTTAGTCATGGACAGAGTTAAACTACAGTCTCACTGGTTCTCCATGGCTCACTTTTACTTGGGATCACAGTTGATCTGCAACTGAAAGAAATGAACATGTTTTAAAAATGTTGATCTTTCCCATTCAGTAGTTAATGACCAGTGAATGTATTATAAATATAGTCCATACAACCTGTGTGCTATATTCTTCTGAAGTCATATCATAGCGTTGTATGTGGAATTTCAGTTGTTATTTGCTGAAAATCTTTTTTGCACTTCTCAAATCATATGAGCTTAAAGGAACACGCCACTATTTTTGAAAAATAATAGTTTTTAAACAGTTGAGTTTTACCGTTTTCGAATCCATTCAGCCGATCTCCGGGTCTGGCGGTAGCACTTTTAGCTGCAGCTTAGCATAGATCATTGAATCTAATTAGACCGTTAGCATCTCGCTCAAAAATGACCAAAGAGTTTCGATATTTTTCCTATATAAAACTTGACTCTTCTGTAGTTACACTGTATACTTAGACAGATGGAAAATGAAAAGTTGCGATTTTCTAGGACGATATGGCTAGGAACTATACTCTCATTCCAGCGCCTATTTTCAGGCGCTGCGTAATATCATTGCGCCTGCTGCGAGATGCTAACGGTCTAATCAGATTCAATGATCTATTCTAAGCTGCAGCTAAAAGTGTTACCGTCAGACCCAGAGATCGGCTGAATGGATTCGAAAACGGTAAAACTCAACTGTTTAACTCTAGGGGAGTTGGAAAATTAGCCTATTTTCAAAAATAGTGGCGTGTTCCTTTAAGCAAATTTAAACTTGAAAACATGTTACTGACATCAGTATTACAACTGATTCTCACGTCGCATAACCAACCACAACATACCAACTTTTAATATGCAATGACATTAGAGAGCTGAGGGGAAGATTATCAGTAAATAATGATATAAACTTTGGTCTGTTCCCACCTGAAAAAAATATATGACTTCGGAAGACTAATAAGAATATAGCCAATTATAGGGATTGCTTTTATGGATTTAAACTCCTTTTTGGAGTTTGACCACCCATGGTCACTATATATTTTGGTGGTTTGTAAAAGAGCAACATCAACATTCTTCACACTCTTCTTCAACATTCTTTTTTTTTGCTTCACATGAGGAATACTGTAAGTCATTCAGGTTTGAGAAGACACGAGAGAGAGTAAACGATGACCAAATTTTCACATTTGGCAGATCTATTCCTTTAACTGCAGGACTCCCTCCATCCATTCCTGATGAAGCGTAAATGTGGTAATGTAAGTTGTATGTGTAAGTCATTACATTGTTGGGGCGTCTGACAGACTGTCTCAGTTCTGTATGTTTGTGCTCTGAGAGCTGCTCTGTGGCCGTCTGAGGGAAAGCTTAAGTTCTTTAGCTACTATGAGGTTTGGCTGAAGGTCTCACTCAAAAGATCTCTGGAGTTGTGGACTGGAGAGGGAGATGATCTTTCATGTTTCTGCTCTGCCATTGGCCGATCAACTCTGGTGTTTATTTTCTCTCCATCTTCTTAGCTGAATAAGCCACCAGTTTGCCTCTAGTTTCAGCCTCAGAAGACATGGCCACAGACCACCCAAATGCATTGGCAAAAAAAAATGGCAAGTTCTGAAGGAAATTACCAGTTTCAGTATGATTGGATGCACTACACAACTTCAAGAAACAAAGACATGCAGGTTTTTTCATATGTCTACCTGCACTGGAAACCATCAGCAGTAGTTTGCCAAATGGTGGAGAAGACATATTCGAATGTCTAGTTGCAGTGTAGATGAGTGCACTTTAAGCATCTTAAATGCAGTTTAATGAGTTCTGACAGCCAACTAATAATTTAGCTGTAAAGGTTAAACGAGTTTTTATCCCTGTGATGGCCATCCATTCAAGATGTTTCCATATCCCATATACATACGAGTCCCTAGAACAGGTTTGGAGAATGGATGGATGGTTAAATGAGTTTAGATTTCTGTCTGCGATGAAGTAGACTCAATTTGAGCTCTTATATTCCCCCTATGGGATTACTAATGCATGGAGTTGATTATATAAGGCAATGCATTTAAACTGTAAAAGTAAAGTTAAAGAGGTGGCAATATGCAGGAACAACTGACACACTGCAATGTAAATGGCTGCTCTTATGCTCTGGTGATTAATTAGAAGATTAGATGGGCCTACTCCTTGTTTAAAAACTTAATTTAAGGTGCCTGGACTGCAGTGGTGGAGATATGCTATAGAGTCTGTACAGTCTCAGTAATGTATGCCAGATAGCAGTACTCCGCTGCAGACCAGTCTCCCTTAGATTCAGTACACAGATTAGAGGATAAGGAGCACGTGGAAATGAGATATTTCCATCCCACCCTGCACACATACATTTTTCCTCACATACACATGCTGTCCTCATGATGACTAACTACAGAGCTGATTAGAGACACTAGAACGCAAAGCCACATGTGACTCTGCAACTCAAGATGAAAAATCTACTGCTCAGAGGACATTTCATATCTCTTAAAGAAGAGATATAACTGATATAACTGTAGATTGAAAAGATAGAACTGTAGAACTGAATATGTTGGAAAGAACAATGCTGGCATGCTGCTTTACTTACACACTGCTTTTAGCACTGCACTATGGATTTCTTTCCTATGACTGGTCTGTCCTCTCTCAGATCAACAGGGATATATTAAATATACAACAAAAGAATTCACATGAAATTTACGAACCAACATGTCTTCCATTGTGAAAAATAAGTACACTGAATTGTACTAATTATGGACTTAGTATAATCTTTAAAGTATATTTTTAAAGACTTCACTTGCTGATAATATAATTAAAAGGAAATAAAATATTACTTAAGATTACTTAAAGAGAGTACACTTTCTTGACTATGCAATTATGTCAAATTAAACATTTTGCTTTAAAGTCCATTTTAAATTATTGTTTTAATAAAATTTGTCATGCTTTACAGAAATACACTTATTTTAATGTGTTGACTTACAAAAGCACATGCAAAGTACTTGATTGTAGTGTGTTATGCAATATTACTTTTAAAGTTAATATATTTTAAATGTACGAAATTGCAACTTCATTGCAAATGTGTAGTTACAAATATATTTAAATACATGATGACTTACCAGATTCAACATTAACGTACATTTTATTTTTCTATAAATGCTTGTCAGTACATCTGTTACTTAGTACATTTTTATCCATACATGCATTTCAAAGACAATAAAGTAACCATGAAATTACATATAAAGATGTACTTAAGTCATACTTAAGTGGGTCAACAGTAAAAAAAAAAAAGTACAGGTATATTTAACATAAATTTGAACTGCAACACAGTTGCAATACAGTTTTATTAACACAATTAAGTGACTGAAAACATAACCTATACTAAAAACCTGTCTGATTTGGGTTTCAGGTACCCAGAAGAACAGATGTACTCAGGTTGTTTGTGTTAAGTCTGTGTGTCAATATAAGTCAGTAGGGAATTCAAAACTGCAGACAC